CGCCTTTGGGTAATAGATCTGGACGTGTAGAAAGGCATCGTGAGATAATTGCATCCGCAATCTTCGCATCAGGTGTAGTAGAACTAAAATAGAAAAATATTCATAAAGCCAATTCGAAGCAAACATTATATATTAAAGAATAATTACATTTATACTTACTAGTCGTGTTGACCCTATGTTGATTAATAATAATAGGTAAATCAGTACTAGCTCATATAAAAAATTTCACACAAAAATCTATCTAAAATATACATAAGTTCCACCAAGTATCACTTCTCCATTATCCCGCGGTATTACATAGGTGATAATTTCATTTTTTCCTTTTTACCAATTTAAAATGAGTAAATTTAAAATTTTCAATAAAAATATTTAGCCTTTAAACCTTGCAACTATACACACTATGCATGTCACCCTCAGTCCTTCCGGCTGCATATCGTCCAAATGTCCAATTTACGTGGCCAACGGGCAATTGAACCAATACTGTTTGTCCGCTCGCTGGATAAATATCTTTATCTTGGACACCCCCTAAAGTTCTTGAACCGAGTCCCGAACAATTTACTACGACATCAGTATTATGAAAGATCGCCTCTTTGATATGAGACAAAGAGGTGCGTTTAGTGATTCCCCCAAGAGAGTAAAAGCGTTTTAAGAGATAAGAAAGATATTTAGGTGGATTAATTGTGACTTTAAATTCAAAAGAGGTGAATGTTAATTATTTTTAATTGAGATCTAGGCAAATTCTTTCATACTGGAATTTGTCATTCGTACTTGTCTTATATGTAATTCCAAATTCAACGTCAACTGGCAATTCTTCCTTTGTTAAATGCCGATACTAATGATTGAAATAAAAATGTCATCTCATGAAAACTCTAGTTTACGATCTCAATTAACATTTTATATTTATTGTCGCAGCTGAAGCTGGAAATGGATGAAGCTGGAAATCAGGGACCTCTATTTAAAAATATAAACCATATAAAAATCCACTTATACTCCTTTATTATCAAAACTAACCCTAAACCCTAACCTAACTATTAAAAAGCTAAGAAAATGCACCCAAAAATTTTTGAAAATTTCATATTAAAATAAAATAATTTCCAGCTTCAGCCGTTTTCAGCTTAAGCCGCGATATTCATTATTACTTCTGGACATAAATCTTTGAACCATGGTTCTTCCCACCCTAATGGAGGTTGTTTATCCCAATAGTCAAAACCGTCTACAACCATTATTCCAGCTTCATATGATTTGGTATGGGCTATATCCCAAAAGTGGTTAAAAGTCTTTCTATCAAAATCTTTAAAAGAATAGTTGAATTAACAAATTTGTCTAGGAGCATACTTTAACCGGTCTTTGATGTTAGATACCTTGTTGCCGAGTGTCTCCAGATTTTGCATCACTTCTCCAGTGGGCGCCAGCCCTATCATATTATTTTTTAATATTATAAAACAGCAGTACACTTAAATAAGGATAAAGTTTTATGTACAAACAATGGGCTAGCATATTCGCCTCTTAATTCTCCCGGAAAGTTTTTTGATACAATTGTAACCTCATATTCCCCTTGCAACAAGACTGCAGTTGTTAGTCCCGAAATTCCTGCTCCTATAACAGTTGCTTGTTTCTTTAACATTGAATTGACCGATTTGAATTTAAAAGTTTTTAAATACAATAGAGAATGACCTGATTTCTTTTGGACCTATAAAATGTTAGTTTAGATATATATATATATATTTGTTGGTAAATGATGTAACGGAAACGGCGGACCGTCATCGCTACACAAAATTCTGCGTTTAGAAAATAACGATAAATTTAGAGATATGATCAATTTTATATTGCTCTAAAAAATATCTACGAAATAAAATCACTTTTGAAGCTAAAATTATCCAATAATATATAGTGAAGTTAAATACTGTATTTGTACGTAATAACGGGTTGGGTATTAATTTGCCTTTCAAAAATTAGTTAAATTACGTGAATCAATCCGTACAACTCGGATACAAAGATTACCCGTTGTACCCGGATTGACACCGAAATAAGTGTACAAGTAACTCAAACCTTCGACATAATGACTAATTAAACTCAAAGTCAAGACGAAATCAGTCTATAATAAATGCACTCTGTATAAAAAAGTTTTAATAAACTCTCAGTATCATATTTTCGCGTAATAACGCCCACTTGCATGTGAGTTAAATGCTGATCGTCCGATATTTACGTAATTAGCTAATTTACATTGATCCAAACATGCGCGGACGCGATGGGCGTCATTCTAAAGCAATGTACGTATGCTATTTTCGAGTGATACGATTTTCGAAATAACGCTCATGGGTGTTATTACGTGAAAATATGGTAGAGTATAAGAAAGGTTTGTAAACCTTTTATTAGGACCTAACCACCTTTCTTATATCCGAACAAAATAAAACGATTTAAATAAACATTTATGAACTTTTAAACACTTAGATCAATAAATTTTCTTTACACTCGCACACTAAATTAAAGCAAACAAAATAAAATTAAATATAACTATTCATGAGCTTGAGTAGCTTATTCTAGCACTTTGATTAATAAAAATTTTTTATGCACACCTAGATTAATGCGAACAAATTAAATCTATATAATAAACATTCATGAACTTTTAAACACATAGATCAATAAATTTTCTTTATGTTTGCGCATTTAATTAATGAATTAAATATAAATATTAATGAGCTTGAGTAGTTTATTCTAAACACCCTGATTAATAAATTTTTTTCAAATCAAATGCGAACAAACTAAAACTATATAATAAACATTCATGAACTTAATCTTATTTTAAACACTAAGATCAATAAATTTTCTTTATACTAATTAAGTGACAAAGTGAAATTAAATTAGTGATTTGAACCGAGAAAAATTTCTAAAATTTCTTTAATCGGTTAACCGAACCGAACCGAATTATTTTATTCAATCGGTTGTCAATCGGGTGAGATTAACTATCCACTACAGCACTATCTCTACTTTTAGTTTTATCTTCGGAAATTCTCGGAGAGCTTTGCTCAAATTTTTGTCTCAATTTGCTCGTCTTTTTATGTCAATCATTTTCTTTTCGGAACCTTTTCACCCTCCTTATATCATTTTCATAATATACCGATCCTGCCAACTAGGGTTTAGGGCACAGGGGCATGAGGCATGCCTAAAGTCCAAAGGGCATGCCCTTGTCATGTGATATTTAAAGTTATTTTGATTGGCTAAT